TTCTCATGTTGCAGACTTTTCAGACGATGAGTAAGGTGCTTTTAGGTCGTGGCCCTATACTCAATGATGCCGTTGGAGTTGATGGACCCATTTATCTTCCGAGTCTTCCGCTGTTATCATTATTAGATGGCCTTAAGCCATATTTATTGTAAAAGTTCTCTTTGAGACAATGATGTAATAAGTGTGTGATTGCCACTCTGCTATAAATCCTTTGATGTACTGTGTGGTGTCAGCATTACTGATCCAGGGATGACACCTGAGCACAGAGCACTTGATCCATTCGGGTCGGGTCGCTACAAGAGCACCACTGTCATTTGCATTCATTACTGTTAGTTTACATTGAGTATGACTTGACTAGATCTCTTTTACCATGAATTACAATGTCTAGTCAGTCCTTGATCTTTAAAGGTGCTCTGAATTTATGTTTTGCGGTCTCAGAAAGGGCTAGCGAGATACCATCTTGTTATATCATATTATGATTGTTTTGAGAAAGTGTTGTCATTCGAGATTTATTATTATTGCTCGCTAGTTGATTATGCCATTGATATGAGTAAACATGAGACCTGAGAATTATTGTGAATATGGTTAGTTTATAATCTTTGCTGAAAACTTGAATGCTGGCTTTACATATTACAACAACGAGAGCAAACAGTGTTTATAAAAGTTTTTCTTTATCACTTTCAGTTTATCAACTGAAGTGCTTGAGGACAAGCAAAGGTTTAAGCTTGGGGGAGTTGATACGTCTCCGTCGTATCTACTTTATCAAACACTTTTGCCCTTGTTTTGGACTTTAACTTGCATGATTTGAATGGAACTAACCCGGACTGACGCTGTTTTCAGCAGAATTGCCATGGTGTTATTTATGTGCAGAAACAAAAGTTCTCGGAATGACCTGAAACTCCACGGAGCGTATTTTTGTAAATAATAAAAAATACTGGCAAAAGATCAAGGCTAAGGGGGCCACACCCTAGCCACGAGGGTGGGGGGCGCGCCTGCCCCCTGGGCGCGCCCCCTACCTCATGGGCCCCCTGGAGCTCCTTCGACCTCAACTCCAACTCTATATATTCACTTTCGGGGAGAAAAAAAATCAGGGAGAAGGATTCATCGCGTTTTATGATATGGAGCCACCGCCAAGCCCTAAAACCTCTCGGGAGGGCTGATCTGGAGTCCGTTCGGGGCTCCGGAGAGAGGAATCCGTCGCCATCGTCATCATCAACCATCCTCCATCACCAATTTCATGATGCTCACCGCTGTGTGTGAGTAATTTCATCATAGGCTTGCTGGACGGTGATGGGTTGGATGAGATTTATCATGTAATTGATGATAGACATTACCACCTCGTTCTCCATAAAACGGGCGCGGTGACTGTTGTCGAAAGCATGATCAAGCATGGTGTACTTCACGCCGATTTCTGGCGTAAGGGGGGCCGCCTATAACAATTGGAAATGATGTCATTTTCAACCAACTTGTATCATTTTGAACAAACATGAAACATATCAAGTCCAAATATAAATGAATCATATTCAACCGACATGAATCATATCATTTTTTTTATCAATTATCACTTATTCAACCAACATTCATCAATTATCATATATTCAACCAATATAAATGATCAATCTGAATGAATCATATTCAACCAACATCTTCCATTCAACAACATTCAACCATCACTCATGCACTTATTTATTCAACATTTCTAAAAAATGCATATACATAATTCACCAAAATCCATCATATGACCATTTGTTAAAAATATATACGCATATACATAATTCAATCACATGTAGGCAACTACTTACAATCCCTCCAACATCAATCATATGACCATTTTAAAAAAATTCTCCAACTAGGGTTCATATAAAAACTACATATAATCTCCACAACTAGTTATTAGAGTTCATATTGAGCCCTATACATCATATACAATCAACCTAAGCAATCCTAAGATAAAAAAGGAAAGAAAATAGGGTTTATTTGCACCAAATAATGCATCGAATCGAAAGTGTTTCGAGTAATTGGAGGGATTGAGAGAGCTTACTTTTCCCTTTTCGGAGCAATCTCGATCCGCAAAAATGGTGCCAAAACGAAGAAGATCGGAGGGGGGGATGAGAGGGGCTTGTGCTCTCTTTTCTTGCGGCGCCGCACGGTTGGGGAGAAGAAGATGGGGGCTGGTTGGTGGGTGAGCCCCACGAGCCGGCCCCGCGGGCTTATAAGGATTCAGCTCCTACTGCCAGGGTCTATGGCGGTAGGGTTGCATAGCCTACCGCCGTTAGCTCTGGCGGTGGGGTGGACGGCAGGAGACGGTACCGTTTACTTGAGGCTGACGTGGATGAGTGGTCTACCGCTATATCATGTGGCAGTAGCCTGTACATGCCTACCACCGGGACCAATGGCGGTAAGAAAAATGGTCATTTTTTTTGAACCAGCATGTTTCAATTTTTTTTGTCGAACTAGGGTAAGATCCAGAAATTCTTTATTAAAAGGGTTAAAACACGAAAATTTGCCTCCCACCACCACCACGCCCTGCATGGCTGCACTGCATGCCGTCCAGAGCAGCCATGCAGTCACAAAAACAATGCAGGATCCCGAAGTATGATATACAACGTCCAGTGTTCAAAACTGCCCCCTTGGAGTCAGTCATCTTCCAAAGTAAAGCGGCCCTTCAAGTCTCTAGTCTATGATACTCTTCTCTTTCTGACCACTCCCTCCGTAAAGAAAATACTATAAGAGTGTTTTACGGTATAGTGATCTAAATTTGTTAATAGAGGGAGTACTAAAGAAACAGGGTGCGAAACCAGTCTCGGCTAGCTGTTCCTGAACCCACCGTGCAAAAAGGCACTTGTGCTACTAGCAGTAATCTATTGTTAGCCGACACGCGACCGCGTTGTAAACTACTGTCGGATGCGTAGATCATCATCCCCATGTTGTTTGTGAAAACCTGCCCAAGTCCAGAAAAACCGTGGGTCTTAGAACTCTGAAGCCTGAACCCGCGTGCATCTGCCGGTATTCTCCCGTAGTATAGTTCTTCAGGGGGTACGACGAGCATTGTTATCCGGCACGACCGCGTTGTAAACCACTGTCCGATTCATGGATGTGCAGGTTGTTTCGTGAAAACCTGTCAAAGTCCTGAAAACGGTGGGTCTCAAGACTCTGAAACCCGCGTGCCTCGGCCGGTGTCTTGACAGGAATCAGAGTAACATGCGCGCGCGCGTGCGTCCCAACATCTTCAACTTGGTTTAGTTTTTGCAGACCGTGCATGTTTTAAAACGCAACATCTGCATAAAGGAGAAATAAGTCTAGATAACCCCCGAGGTTCCATGAAATGAACACATAACCCCCTAAACTTTAAAACCGGGTATTTAACCCCCTGAAGTTTCCAAAACCAGATAAAACACCCCCTATGGGCTTTCGATGGTCGTTTTAGAGTGGTTTTGTACGAGTGACCCATTTTACACAAGCCATCGCTGGTCCCACCTCTAAACAACTCAATATCACCACAGCCACACACATGTATTCCATTAAACATGTAACCTACAATATGCACAACTCTCATCCATTCCTGTATTCTCATGCATCTCTTCGATGGCCAGTGCGGATTGCTTCCTGAGCATGCCCCCTGCGCTCAAAGTGCCAGCATGCATCACATTGCTTACCTGATTGACGGTGCACACATGCCTGACAAGTACGTCGGGTTGTGACGCCATTGCGCGTGCATTCCGTAGCAGCATGCAGTCTGTTGTATCGTGTGGCTGATTCGACATTCGAGTTGGCACACCTATCGGAGTTTTTAGGGGACGAGCGCAGAGTGGAATTGGAGGCAGGCCAGCAACAAGATACGAGCAAGCGCTGGAGCTATACATCTGTCACGATGCAATCCTAACACATTGTGCATATTGACCTTCTTCTCGGATGTAGGTGTACTTGTCTGTATCTGTCGTGCTAGCCACGAGATCAAGACACGGGATATCAACTACTCCCTCCGTCCCAAAATAAATGTCTCAACTTTGTACTAAAGTTAGTACAAAGGTGTTTTTGATTGTCTGTTGTGCTCTGCAAGCTAAGTGCCCAGTTGCAGACCAAGTAAGGCTCGGCAAGATACGAGGAAAGTCCATAGACGGGGCGTATGGCGCAGGTTCAGATGTGCAACTGTGCAAGGCATCCTGCCGCGGCGTGGCCCGGGCATTACGGGTGATGAACAGAGATGTGACACGGCAGAAAAGGAGTGGAGGAGCTGCGTAGGGGCAAACATGTGATTACGAGCAGCAACGACAGAGATGAAGTCGAGCTAGCTTCGTGTACATGAGCTTAGCTTCTACATGTTCCGAGTTACATCCATCACAAGAAAACTAGTTTTTTTTAAGGGCAGCAGGGAAACTAGCTTCACATACTCTACTCCAAGTTGCACCGTGCTCCGGACGGACAGGACTCGGCAAGTCAAGCTTGCTGCAAACAGAAAATAGCAGGCTTGTGTGAAGTGAGCCACGTGGACAAAAACAACTCTGGAAACCACTCTCCAAAGTCCTCACGGGGTAATTTATCTGGTTTTGGAAACTCCAATGGGTTAATAACCCGGTTTTAAAATTCAGGGGGTAATGTGATCGATTTGTGAAAACTCAGGGGGTTATCTGGACTTCTTTCGCATAAAGGATTAAAAAAACCATCCGCAAAAAAGAAACAACATTTTTCAGTCATCGTGCGTGATAGTGGGTCGTAATTTGTCTTGTGCTTACAAAAAAAATCTTTGGAAAAGAAGGAAAAACATATAGCCGAGCCCATTGACATATTTGGGCCGCGCTGGGGGCCCATGTAGAGCTTTGACTCCGGGGTTCCTCCGCACGGGCCGGGCCTCTTCCGGAAAACAGAAAAAACAGCGGGGGTGGAAGGAGGCCGGAAAGCGGACTGCCGCGTAGTCGTCGCCGTCGTCGTCCTCCCCTTCCTCCCGGTGGTGCCCGCGAGCTCCAAGCCCTTGCTCGGTCGCGGGTAGGGTGGCGAGTGAGATGGTTCGAGCTCCGTCCGTAGAGGCGGCCGTGGCCGTGGCCGTGCTCCTCCTCTGCCTCTCCGGCCTCTGCCGCGGCGCCGAGCGGCTCGGGGCGAGGGAGTGCGAGGAGCTGGGGTTCACCGGCCTCGCCCTCTGCTCCGACTGCAACGCGCTCGCCGAGTTCGTCAAGGACCAAGGTGCGTGCGTAGCCAATGGCTCCCCCCTCTGCTGTATCCATTAGTCACGTGACGATGGTGTGATTGCGATCTGAACCGAGCGAGGCGTAGGTCGGAAAGATACCCGGATGTGATTTCTCTATCGTAGTTCGATTGATCCGCAGTGCGGAATAGATCCGTGAGGGTTAGATCGTAACTATATCGCGGTTGCAGCCGGGAAATCGATTCTCGTTAGCCCGAGGAAACCCAATTGGAGTGTGAATGTGTGGTTCTTAGACCACCGAGCCTTTATATGGATCTCAAATTACTTCGGGGAGACAGGAATAGTGGACCCGGAGTTGGTTGATTTGAGGTTTCTTATATGATCATTGATTCAAGTGATCTGGGACGCCCTGTTGCAACTGAAGCTTGAATCCGGCTCTGAAATTGTGATTTGGTCAATTTGGGGGCCGTGACTTGTGAATTAAATAGCTCGTCCCACGCCGATGTACTGGGAACTTTGAGGTTAGTCCACAGTTGCAGAATAGTGCGGTGTTTGAACCTTTCTAGATAAAGGATGGGTCACCCCCCCAGCCTCTGTATCGATTGATGCACACAGTCAAGGCGGTGTTTGAAATGTGGAGGTTTCACTCTCCCCTGACATCTAAAAAATTTGTAGGTGGTGTTGATTATGGAACCTCCTTTATTTTTGTCACCGTTGTTTTGATGATTTCGTCTAGGAGCATTCTGAAGCTAGCTGGATTGAAAATCTGATTAAAGGGCAGCCCCAGTGCATGTAGCTCCCGCTTGCGCAGGGTCTGGGGAAGGGTCCGACCACTTTGGGTCTATTGTACGCAGCCTTTCCCTACATTTCTGTAAGAGGCTGTTTCCAGGACTTGAACCCGTGACCTCATGGTCACAAGGCAGCAGCTTTACCACTGCGCTAAGGCTCCCCTGCTCCCCTAGGAGCATTCTGAAGCTAGCTGGATTGAAAATCTGATTAATGTGAAGAATTCTATTGTATCTAGATTGCTCATTGCTCGTCTTGGATGATTTTGTCGTTGCTGAGTTGCTCCTTTAGAAGTCAGTCGTCGGCTGTTGGGAAAGCAAGTCACAGTGGATTCCTTTTTCTTCATCACACGTGCTAGTTGTTCCAATCGTCCTTTTAACAACATATTTGTTTTATGGTTGCAGAGTTGGTGGATGACTGTCGTAAATGTTGCACGGAGGATTCAGATGATTCTATCAGCAAGGTATGGCCTATGAAGCTCCATGAATTCCAACCTGGTGACAACTGGGTTTACTTGTCAAGTTGTCATAAGCTGCAACCAGAACTAGTTTTCCTTTTTGGATGTAGAGTACACTTTGTATTGTATTCTGGTTGTTGCTGGATTTGTAGTGTGAATTATCCTAAGATCTCGTTGCCTTGAGTGTTCTTTAATATAATTTTTTGTTTTCTCTTCTTGGAAGATATATTGAAGGCAAATGAAGGTTAGTGGTGCCAAATAGGGGCTTATTTTGATTGGATATTTTCAGACGAACTTGTTCTTTAGTATGTTATTACTGGATGATTTTAAGGCTGAACTTGAAACTACACTGCACTAGATTTATAGGATGCTTTGAAGGTTGATAATGAACACTAAACATGCATTATAGCAGCACACTTCCACTTGATATAATATCTTCTGGTGCTTGGTATTGCAGCTTGTATACTCCGGTGCAATTATCGAAGTATGCATGAGAAAGCTGGTGTTTTATCCAGAAGTCGTTGGCTTCCTCGAAGAGGATAAAGATGACTTCCCTTATGTAGAATCTCGGTATGCTTATGGCTCTCCACCAAAGCTCATAATGCTTGACGACAAGGGTGAACAGAAGGAGACTATAAGGCAAGTTCTACTTAACTCCTTACAAGGCAATTTGATTATAACTTTCTAGTTACCTAGGGAGATAACATACATTCTTGGACTTCATTCCGTCGAGAAGAATGAAAATAACACTTCTGTGTACCATTTATCACATGCCATTTGCTTTATATTGTCGATCCTCTCTCCCCACGACATAATTCAACGTATAATATGATGGATGATGCAATAGGCAAGGGAATATTATATTTGATATTGTCCGAGTACTGATTATTATTTGAACATAACTGAACAGACATAAAACTGGTTGGTATACTGGTACTGGAATGTTCTATGTAGCCACAGTACGACGTTGAGCACTAGGTCCTTTGCTAAAATGGCATAATCTCCGATTGGCACACTATTTTCGTATTTTTCCATCTTCACCGTAGATGAAATATTTTGTGGTTTGCTCAACATGCTTAACTCATGGTAAAACCAGTTTCATCAGTTCAATGACTAAAACTAACCGAACTTGCAGGATCGACAACTGGAAGCGTGAGCATATTCGGCAATTTCTCACAGAGAAGGTGAAGCCGGCGAAATCAGAGACCTGAATAATCGTGACGAGTTCCTCTCCCTGTAGAACCATATATCGATATATGTATTTGTGTTCTTTTGCACGCAAAACCCCGGTCACCCGTGATCTGTACCTAAACCAGGTAGCATGTGTACACCTCAACTGTCATGTATGATGTGCATTTAGTTTTGTTGTTGGAGACAGGCTGCTGGATCTGTTATCTACAACTGAACATCATCAGTCTAAACTAGTGCCTACTACTCCCTCTGTAACTTAATATAAGATGTTTTTTGACACTGTTATGGATTCTAAAAACATCTTATAAGAAGTTACAGGGGGAGTAGTAAGCAAGACAGAGTCTTTGGGGCCCGAGTGCAATCTGTATTACATTGACGGTTACTGAGTTTGTTTCTGAACGATTTGGCTAGTTACAAAGTCGATGGAACCAGACGATTCCCTTGGAACGAGATGCAAAATGATAACAGGGGTCCCTGTGCGTTTGAGCATTTCTTAGTGAGCATAGTGGTACGAGGGATTGTGCCTCGTGTGACTCTGTCTGCTGATACCTGAGCAGCCTTAGTGTCAACGTGCCGTAGAGGATGAAAACCATTGCCGTTATCAGATTGGGAACTTATACCGTTCTGAACAGTATGTAGAACGTTTCCAAGATCAGATTGGGAACTTACCCTTCCGACAACAGTATGCAGAACGTTCTCAAAATTCGTAGTGGTTGCAGTCCTGACTAAACATGATCTGCTATTTGGAGATCCTTGCCGGTATCTCTAGAATTCTGAACTCGACACGGAGACATGGAGTCCAATTTGTTGGCTTCAGTTTTTCTCCCCTCGACCCTCATAAGAGTGTCTTGGCGACAGCTCCTGCAAACCGTGGCCGCCGTGAATGTCACTCCTTAGGATGACACGAGCTGAACCAAACCGCCACCACTCCCATTTCCCATCGATCTCCTTCAACATGTGCTCTTCCCGTGGGATGCAGACATTGTTGTATGAGTGTTTTTTTTTTTGAAACGAAGGCAAAGATTGCCTCATCTATTAATTAAGCAGAAGAGAATTGCCTAGTTAATTACGGAAAACCGGGCGGAAACCGGAACAACAAAGACTAAGCCCACCCTAAAGACTAACACACACAGGGCAAAGCCCACCCACGAACAACATCGATGACAACCACGTCGCCCACACGACACGAGGTCCATGCCCTCGAAGCTGCAAATCTCCCGAGGCCGCTGCCTCGACATCCACTGCTCCGTTGCGCCCTGCACACTCAACCGACACCGCCTTCCGGGGCCGCCGCCCCGACATGCCACCGCTCACCCTCGAGCAGCAACACCGCACGATACAGCAGCCCGCAGCCCACACTGCTCAGGACAACCGCACACAGACCACGAATGTCGCACCACATCCGGGGCCGCTGCCCCGGCATGCCGTCCAACCGCCCCCGCTAGGACGCGTCGACCGAGCCGACAACCTTGCCGCCCACGCAGCTCAAAGTCCTCACTCAAGCCATGTCGACAAACAACCCTACCTCCTGGGCCACCGCCGCATCGCTGCCCGAGGCCGCCACCTCGGCTCTCAACTGAAGATCCCGGAGCCGCCGCCCCAGCATACACCGCCCATGAAAACGGAAGAGCCCGCACAACATCCAAAGGCTGACTCTCCAAAGCGACGCCTCCAAGAAGGTTACGACGTAAAACGCCGCCGCCGCCCACTCCAAAATACTGAAGTTTAGGTCCTCACCCGAAGAGCCCAAGCACATGAAAGGAGAGGAAGAACTCTACGACGACGCCTCCAAGAAGGTCGCGACACCCGCAGGCGCCGACGTCGTCAAAAGCTTTCGCCCAAGTCCCTCATCACCGAACAATGAGCCTACAGATCTGGGCACCCATGGATAACCAGACCACTCGAGCCAAGCCTGCTATGAAGAGCACCTCCCGTCGTCAGCCGCCAAAGCCCTTCCACAACGACCTGCTACAGCACCTCATGCGACAGAGAGACTATGCGTTTGCCGGGGCCAGATCCGCGGGCATCGCCCTGAATCCACCGTTCCCAACCGCCGCAGCAGCCCATGCCGATGCAGCAATCGCTCCGGGGCCGCTTGCTACCTCTTGAGCACTGCGTTGGTTTCCCTTGAAGAGGAAATGATGATGCAACAAAGTAGCGTAAGTATTTTCCTTAGTTTTTAAGAACCAAGGTATCAATCTAGTAGGAGATCACGCTCGAGTCCCACGCACCTACACAAACAAATAAGAACCTCGCAACCAACGCGATGAAGGAGTTGTCAATCCCTTCACGGTCACTTACGAGAGTGAGATCTGATAGATATGATAAGATAATATTTTTGGTATTTTTATGATAAAGAGAAATAAAGATGCAAAGTAAAATAAACGACAAAGGAAATAACTAAGTGTTGGAAGATTAATATGATGGAAGATAGACCTGGGGGCCATAGGTTTCACTAGTGGCTTCTCTCAAGAGCATAAGTATTACGGTGGGTAAACGAATTACTGTCGAGCAATTGATAGAATTGAGCATAGTTATGAAAATATCTAGGTATGATCATGTATATAGGAATCACGTCCGCGACAAGTAGACCGAAACGATTCTGCATCTACTACTATTACTCCACACTTCGACCGCTATCCAGCATGCATCTAGAGTATTAAGTTCATAAGAACAAAGTAATGCTTTAAGTAAGATGACATAATGTAGAGGGATAAACTCATGCAATATGATATAAACCCCATCTTTTTATCCTCGATGGCAACAATACAATACATGCCTTGCTGCCCCTGCTGTCACTGGGAAAAGACACCGCAAGATTGAACCCAAAGCTAAGCACTTCTCTCATTGCAAGAAAGGTCAATCTAGTAGGCCAAACCAAACTGATAATTCGAAGAGACTTGCAAAGATAAACCAATCATACATAAAAGAATTCAGAGGAGATTCAAATATTGTTCATAGATAAACTGGATCATAAACCCACAATTCATCGAATCTCGACAAACACACCGCAAAAGAAGATTACATCGAATAGATCTCCAAGAGAATCGAGGAGAACTTTGTATTGAGATCCGAAGAGAGAGAAGAAGCCTCTAGCTAATAACTATGGACCCGTAGGTCTGAAGTAAACTACTCACACATCACCGGAGAGGCCATGGAGTTGATGTAGAGGCCCTCTATGATCAATGCCCCCTTCGGCGGAGAAAAGGCCCCGAGATGGGATCTCTCGGGTACAGAAGGTTGCGGCGGTGGAATTAGGTTTTCGTGGTGCTCCTGGATGTTTGGGGGGTACGTGGATATATATATAGGAGGAAGAAGTACGTCGGTGGAGCAACGTGGGGCCTGATGAAGTTATGTACCTAGGGTAGGGTCATAGGCCTGACCTAGACACCCTTCCCTAGGACACCATCCTAAAACCAGAAGCATTCGAGGGATAGCATCATCCACTCGACTACGAGGCATTCCACTCGGAAGACTCAAAGTCACTCGACCACGACAATTATCACTCGACGGACAGAAGATCTAAAGTCACTCTGCACGACAACGGTCGGACGTTTACTTCATAGACTTAATAGGCATTTATGTCACTTAATTGACAGCGTTACCAGTAACGCCCCCTCTTGATGTACCTTAAAACCCTTGTAACGTGGGCTGGCTGGGGTCTAGGCGCACTCTATATAAGCCACCCCCTCCACTCGCACAAGGGTTCGCACCCCCTGTAAACACACATACATAATCCAATCGACCGCCTCCGGGCACCAAGACGTAGGGCTGTTACTTCCTCCGCGAAGGGCCTAAACCGGTAAAACTCGTGTGTACAACTTCACCATAGCTAGGATCTTGCCTCCTCATACCTACCTTCATTCTACTGCCAGTCTTAAATCCACGACAGTTGGCGCCCACCGTGGGCAGGAGTCTTAGCGAATTTTTGGTGGAGTTGCGATTTTTTCCGATTCTCATCATCATGGTTTCCACCGGCGGACTGGTTGAAGGCCGCGAGATCCATCTCGGCGCGCTCGTTTTCATCGCCGACGACTCCGCTTGGCTCCAGGAAGCTCCACTCGACGTCGATGCGCTCCCCGTCCGCGGGGCAATGCACTTTCGCGCGTGCGTCCGTGACGTCCTTCTCCGGCAACCGTCGACCCAGTATCGGTCGACTCCTATGGTGTCCTCGTCTCCCGCTGTTCGCCGGCGCAAGCGTTCCGGTCGGTCGCGGCTCCAGCGATGGGTGAGACACGCGGTAGCCCACCAGTCGGTCACCTCACAAGTCGCGGCAATCGAGGCCGACGAAACTCTCTACGGCCTGTTCGACTGGCTCCGTCGAGAACGCATCTGATTGCGACAGCAGCGATCCCGCGGCAGAAGTCTTGATGGTCAACGAACCACCCAGTCCTCCTAGCTTCCCCCGCAATGATAGTGGTGCTGGCGGCGGCACCCGTCGCGCGTTCACGAGGAGTACCGCCCCGAGCCCCTTTCTTCGCAGCGGAGGGAAGAGCTTCGTTGGCGCAACATGGATGCACTTCACACTCCTATCGTTGGAGAAACCCCGAGGCCCGGGCCTTGGAGGAAGCGCGCCCGACCAACTTGGCTGAGCGCACTCGACTGGAGAACTTGCATCTTGCACTCGACGAGCGTGCTCAGCAGCGGATCCCTGAATCCAGTCGACGACAGTTTTTTCCGCCTCAAACTCAGGTATACCACACTCCAATTCAAAATCTCACAACTGCAGCCTGAATAGCAGAGTCAATCCAGCCCTCCTAGTCGGAGGCTAGCAGAGGTTTGATGCAGATCCGGGCCTTGCTCCGAGCAGCTGGAGAGTAGAACACAGCAATGTATCAGTGGCGGAATAGGATTCATAGCAGGTCTGTGGTGGCGGATACAGTACAGTCGACCCACAGTCCAAGATCGCCCCCCGCAGCGTGAAGGACGTGGGCACAGACAAGATAAGTACATAAACCACGAGCAATATGATCACCGCCTCGACCACAATGATCGTCTTCGAGTGCCCACGCATCCTCCG